GAATTCAAGGCCAGCCTGGTCTACATAGTGAGTTCCAGGACAGCTGGGGCTACAAGGGAGACCCTGTCTCAAAAAGACCAAAAAAAAAAAAAAAATTCCTGGTTCTAATGCATTGTGTCCAGGGTCCTCAGGTGCAAGTGAGCCCTGGATCTAGAGGCTTCTGAAGTGTGGAGCCTGGGGTCTTGTCTATTGGGGAGGAGCCCTGGGTTTCCATAAGGAGTTGAGTAGATTCTGCAACTGGGGTGACTCACCGGTCATGGCCCCGGCCAGCCAGCAGAGCGTGAGCATAGGCGTCCAGGGACGCTGCAGGGTCCTCCTTGGTCAGTCCCGCAGGCTCAGAATCAAGGGACACAAAGAAGGCGGCCCCTTCCACAGCTTCCAGGGCAGAGGTGGCATGGGTCTTCAGCGACTCCCGCACCTGGGCCCACATACTCCTGTGGAAGGGGGATGGGCCTGAGTCCAGCTGGCCCTCCACCCTGTCCAGACCGCTTCCTGGGCCCAATCTGCCCACTGTACCCGCAGGCCGCAGCCCTCACCTGGGAGCGGTGGTCAAGGCTGCTAGATGCTCCTCGTGGGGACAGGCAGGGGAAGGGTCGTCCAGGATCCACTGAAACTGCTGCTCCAGGGCCCTTGGGGACAGCAGGCCATTCTGGGAGTGGGTCCCCACCCGGAAGAATCGGCCCCGGTGGAAGACAGCCACATGCCGGCTGTCCTGGAGATGACGGAGGTGGTCTAGGGGCAAGTGGGCACAGGAGCCTGAGACTGGGAAGGCAGCTACAAGAACCACTCTGCTTATTAAGGATGTTCTCTGTCCCCAAGCTTTCATTCATTCATTCATTCATTCATTCATTTAGACAGGGTCTCCCTGTAGCCTTAGGCTGGCCTGTAACTCACTATGTAGACCAGGCTGGCCTCCACCTCCCTAGTGCTCAGAAGACAGCAGATGTACACCACCATGACTAATTTATGTGGTGCTGGATATGAAAACTTCAAACATGCTAGACAAGCACTCTACCATTGGATAGGCATCCCAGCTCACTCCCTGGAGCTAGTAATTTCCATCACCCCTGGTACCATTATTATCCCATTTTGTAAAGGAAAACACAGGCTCACAGAGGGCAAGCACTTGCCCGAGGCCACACAGGAAGCACTGGAATCAGGGCAGGAACCCAAGCTGGTTGGGCAGAGTCCTGTTGTTAATCACTGCCTCTGTCACAGGGAGGGACAGGGACAGGAGGGGAGGGAGTCTCACCTTTTTCCACCCCTGGAATCCGTGTGGTGTTGAATATCCTTTCGTACTGCGCAGAACACAAGGGTCGCATTCCCATCAGCAAGATCTGCAGGAGGCCAGAGGCTGTGAGCTGTGTGCTGGGCCCTACGTGGCTTCCCACACCTCCATGCCCAAGCCACAGGAGCTGGGACCATGGGAGCCTGGACCACAGGAGCTGAGGGCCATGGAAGCCAGGGCTATGGGAGCTGGGATGGCATGAGAGCCAGGGCCACATGTGCCAAGAAAGCTGGGAACAGTGGAAGCCACGGTTGTAGGAGCCAAGGCCACACTGTCCACAGGATTTGGGGGGACTACAGGAACCAGGGCCACAGGAGCCAGGACCACATGGACCACGGGAGCTGGGGACCAGAGAAGCCAGGGTCACAGGACCCTGGGCCACATTGGTCACAGAAGCATGGTGGGGTCACAGGAGCTTGGGGGTGGGGTGCACAAGAGCCAGGACCATGGAAGCCAGGAGCATGAGAACCAGGGCCACATGGGCCACGGGAGCAGGGACCACGGGAGCTGCCTTACGGGTGGAATCTCCTGGCGGTTCAGACGATGGCGATACAGGAGCAGGGCGTGGACAGCATTCCCAGCCCGGGCCGCCTGCAGCGGTGTGGGTGTGACGTACAGGAAGTCCTGCTCCGTGGCCAGGGGACACAAAACACAGAGGCCACGTCTGTCACTGACAGGGGCCCCCGACTTCCAAAGCAGACAAGATGGTGAACTGCAGACTGCAGACCTGGATTCACATCGTGGATCGTAAACACCACGGGCACCCCACCACCCTGGCCCATGCCTCTAGCTCACCATCATGTAGAAGGTACTGTTCACCAGCAGGGAGTTGCGTGAGCGCAGGTACACAAACTCTTCCCACCAGTCACTGACCTGGGGAAGAGCAGGAAAGACACGGCTGGTGGCCGGGACCTTGACCAGAGGGGCAGTGGAACGGGAGCCCGCCAACTTAACTGCGTCACAGGAGCAGAAAGGGGCTCCACGGAGAAGTTGGCCATGATTAGCAACTAGTGAGAACCTAGAAGGCCTCGATGAGGGATCAGTTACTCAAAGCATGTAATGTACAGCCATTAATTAGAATTAGGGGTTGGGAGATGGCTCAGTTGGTAAAGTGCTGGCCTTGCAGCCCTGGTAACATGAGTGAAATTCTCAGCACCCATATAAAGGCCAGGTGTGATGGTGTGTTCTAATCCCAGTGCTGAGGCACAGACTGAAACACCTAGAGGTCCTGGAGAGGCAGCTCAGCAGTTAAGAGTACTGGCTGCTCTTGCAGAGGACCTGGGTTTGGTTCCCAGCACCCACATGGCAGCTAACAACCCTCTGTAATTCCAGTTCTAGGGAATCCAACATCCTCTTCTGGCCTCTGTGGACATTGCATGACATGGGTGCACTTACAAACATGCAGGCAATACACTCATACAAATAAAATTTTTAAAAATATTTTTTTGGTCTTTTTGAGACAGGGTTTCCCTGTAGCCCCAGCTAGCCTGGAACTCACTATGTAGGCCAGGCTGCCTTGAACTCACAGAGATCCACCTGCCTCTGCCTCCTGAGTGCTGGGACTAAAATAATAATAATAAATATTTTTTAAGATGAGCATCAAGACATATGTTTGAGAGCTAGGCTTGTCTCAGTTGGTAGAGTGTTGGCCAAACAGGCATGGAACCCTGGCCTCCATCCCTGGCGCTGTCTAGACCAGGTACACTCTACCAACTGAGCTACATCCCAAGTCCTCCAGTGCCTGTTATTTTTGTTGTTTTTGACAGTGTCTCATTTATGCAGTCCCGGCTGGCCTGGAATTCGCTATGTAGACCAGGCTGGCCTCAAATTCACAGAGATCCACTTGTCTCTCTGCCTCCTGAGTGCTGGGAATTAAAGGCATGCACCACCATGCCCGACAGTGTATGTACTTAAATTTTTATTAAATTTCTGTTTTATGTGTAGGAGTGTACTGTCTGCATGTGTGTAAGTACACCCATGTCATACAATGCCTGTGGAGGTCAGAAGAGGGCGAAGCATCCCCTGGACTGGAGTTACAGATCATTGTTAGCTGCCATGTGGATGCTAGGAATTGAACCCAGGTCTACTGAAAAAGTAGCCAGTGCTCTTTAACTGCTGTCTCTCCAGCCCTTATTTAATTTTATTATTTTTAGTTTATGCGTATGAATGTATTGTCTGCATGTGTGTAAGTGCACCCGTGTCATTCAATGCCTTAGGTCAGAAGAGGGTGTTGAATTCCCTGGAACTGGAGTTACAGATGGTTGTTAGCTGCCATGTGGATGCTGGGAACTAGAGCCAGTGCTGTAACTGCTGAGCCATTTCTCTAGCCCCCAGTCTGTACTTTTTTTTTTTTTTTTTTGGTCTTTTTTTGAGTCAGGGTCTCCCTGTAGCCCCAGCTGTCCTGGAACTCACTATGTAGGCCAGGCTGCCTTGAACTCACAGAGATCCACCTGCCTCTGCCTCCCGAGTGCTGGGACTACAGGCATGCGCCACCACGCCTGGCTCAGTCTGTACTTTTTAAAGAGCAGAATCTAACCTATAAGCTTGAAGAAAAAAATAATTAAAAGCAGAACACGGGGCTGGAGAGATGGCTCAATGGTTAAGAGCACTGATTGCTCTTGCAGAGGACCTGGGTTCAATTCCCAGCACCCACATGGCAGCTAACAACTGCTTGTAAGTACAGTTCCAGAGAATGTGACACCCTCTTCTGAGGGTGGGCACCGTACAACACAGATGCACTTACAAACAATACATACAAGACAATATACTACATAAAAAAAAGAAAAAAAGCAGAACACTTGGGGCTAGAGGGCTGGTGCTCAATGCTCTTGCAAAGGACCCAGGTTCAGTGCCCAAGCACCCATGTTCAGCTCACAACCACCTGTAACCCCAGCTCCAGGACATCCAACACCCCTGGCCTACATGGGTGCCTGCAAGCACATATCATTTAAAATAATAGAATTAAATCTTTAAAAATAAAACAAAAGCAGAACACTGAAGCTCAGCTACCTCCAACGGCTACAAGACACCTCTCTCTGAGTGTTTCCACTGATTGACCCTCCCATGTGGCGCTGCCCCAGACCTTCTGTGCTCGACCTCCTTCCCACACTGGACATGTTTACCAAGCCCAACATTTTGATGAATTTTTCCAGCTGAAGTCTTCCGACTGTCCCTGCTCAGCCTCATGTCCGTCCTCTTTCCTGCACACCAGAGCTGCCCCTGCACCTCCCTATTCCAGATCCTCCTATGCCTCCCCTAGTGCACTCCAGAGGACCCTTTACTGCAAAGGGCTGGTAGGGGATAGTTGGGGCGGGGCTACAGGCACGGGGCGGAGCTAGAGAGCACAGGGGAGATATAGAGAGCAGATACGGGGTGGAGTGGCAGGAGGGCGAGGCCGTTTCCTGAGTCATGGGACATGGTGGGGGCGGGACTGGAGGAGGTTCGGGGAGGCCCTCTTGATGGGCGGGGTGGGGGCGGTCCCATCGCGGGCGGGGCATCCCTTCTCTCAGTGGGCGGGGCTGGAGGGGCGGGGCGGGGCTGTCCCGCTTTGGCAGGCGGGATCCGGCGTGTAGCGCCTGGCACTCACGTAGTTGGAGGCGCACCAGGACTTGAGGCGCAGGTAGAACTGCAGCAGCGGCGCCTGCAGCCGCAGGAAGTCGTGCGCCAGCGCCGCCGCGCAGTCGAAGGCGTCGTCGCGGAGCAGTGGGCGGACGGACTCCAGGTACTGCGGGGGAGCGCAGCGTCACGGCCCACCGCGGGCGCCCGCCCCGCCCAGGAACCAGCCCACCTTGCGCACTGAGTCCTGCACCGCGGGTACCGGCAGCCGCGGCAGCGAACGCTGGAAGCCGAACAGCATGGGGCGGCGGCCGGAGAAGATGCGGACCAGCGCCTGCGGGGGAGGCGGTAGAGGGGGGAATAACAGGGGAGGGGGATAACGGGAGAGGGGGGTCGGGGGAGGGAGGTGGGGGGACAGCGAGACAGTGAGTCCCAGAGTTACAGACTCACTGAGAGAGGGAAAGGAGGACTGAGACCCAAAGAGAGAGTGGGACACGGACCCAGAGACAGAGACCCAAAGAGTGGGAGAAAGATCAAAAGAGAGAGCCCCCAAAGTAGAGCAGAGACCCAGAGAGAGGGAGAGAAAGAGACACTCAGAGGGAGAGGGTTAGAGACCCAGAAAGAGACAGAACCAGAGAGAGAGAGAGAGAGAGAGAGAGAGAGAGCCAGAGAGGGAGAGAGACAGAGGACCTAGAGACCCAGAGAGAGAGAGAGAGAGAGAGAGAGAGAGAGAGAGAGAGAGAGAGAGAGAGAGAGAGAGAGACACACACACCCAGAGGGAGAGGGGACAGAAGCCTTGTGTTCTATGAATCTCAGTCCTTCACATACCAGCCAGGTCTTGGTGGGTGAGGACATAGTTCCATGAGGTTCCAGAAGCCAGCCATGATGGGACAGAAGAAGCCTCAGGGCCACGTGAAGCGTGAAGATCAGGGCTCCCCACAGACATGAGGCAAACAGCGCTGCTGCCAGGACCCCTCGGAGGCGATGGTGCTGTCCACCCCTGGGGTAGAGAGACAGGTGTCCTGAATCTGTGCACTGGTCTATGACTTAGAGAACTGGTGATGGGGATAACCACATCAGACCGGTGCCTTTTCCCCCTCCATAAATTGGGTGTGTCCCTCTGCTGCTTCTGTCCATCCTAGTGGAGGCACCAAGCTTCTAAAATCACTTTCTTGGGGCCAGGATGTAGCTTAGTGGGTATGCAGGAAGGACATCGTGGTGCATCCTTGTAACCCTGGCACTGGGGAGGTGGAAACAAGATCAGTTCCAAGTCCTGGGCTTCAGAGTGAGATCGAGCCCAGCCTGGGCTACATGAGACCCTGCCATGAATGAATGAATAAAAAAATAAATCTCTGTCCTTGGAAATTGGTAGGTTCCATCCAGGTGTGGGAATACTCCTGTAATCTAGAATTTAGGAGACTGAGGCAGGAGGATTGCAGGGAGCTCCAGGCCAGACTGAGCTCCAGAGAAATTAACTTGTCTCAAAAAAGAAACGGGGGGTGGGGTGTGGGGTGGGGTGGGGAGAAGAGTGGTGGTCGTGTTGGTGTGCTAAAGAGAGATGGCTCAGGGGTTAAGGCACTGGCTGCTCTTGTAGATGACCCAGGTTCAGTCCACACCACCACATGGTGGCTCTTAACTCTCAGTAACTCCAGTTCCAGGGGGATCTGATGCCCTCTTCTGGCCTCTGCAGGCCTTGCATGACACAGGCAAAACCCTCATACACATAAAAAATAAAAAAATTTTAAAACCTGGGGACTGGAGAGATGGCTCAGCAGTTAGGAGCACTGGCTGCTCTTGCAGAGGACCTGGGTTCAATTCCCAGCATCCACATGGCAGCTAACAACTGTATGTAACTCCAGTTCCAGGGGATCTGATACTCTCTTCTGACCTCCATAGGCATTGCAAGCAATACACTCATGCACATAAAGGAAAGATAATAATTTTTTACAAAAAAGGAGGTGATGCCAGGCGTGGTGGCCCACACCTTTAATCCCAGTGCTCAGGAGGCAGAAGCAGGCAGATCTCTTGAGTTCAAGGCCAACCTGCTCTGCATAGTGAGTTCCAGGCCAGCTGGGGCTACAGGGAGACCCTATCTCAACAAACAAACAAAACAAAAAACAAAAAAGGAGGAACCATTTAAAATAAAATTAAAATTAAAAAACCCAAAAAAGTGAGGCTGGAGAGATGGCTCAGCGGTTAAGAGCACTGACTGCTCTTGCAGAGGACCCGGGTTCGAGTCCCGGGCACCCACATGGCGGCTATGAACCATCCTTAACTCCAGTTCCAGGGGAATCCGAAGCCCTCTTCGGCATTGCATGACACAGGTACACTCACATACATGCAGGCAATACACTCATACACATAAAATAAAATAAAAAAAATAAGGAACATGGGGTCTCCGAACATCTTTGTTTTTTTTGTTCTTCTTTAAGAACAGTCAGTGTTCTTAACTGCTGAGCCATCTCTCCAGCCCCTGAACATCTTTGTTGACTGAATCATAAATGTATTCTTTCTAGAACTTTCTGTGTGTGATCTGGGCTCTGCCCCGTAAGGGTCATGTGCACAAAATCTGCATCTTCCTCCAGAGGAAGACTGAGTCATATACTGGAACCTACCACCTCACCCCTCCCTACCTGGTTTTCAATCCCTTCTTAAAGTTAATGATAATGGGCTGGAGAGATGGACCAGTGCTCCTGCAGAGAACCCGAGTTTCATTACCAGAACCCACATGGTGGTTCACCACCTCCTGCAACTGCAGCTCCAGGGGATGTGACACCCTTTTCTGGTCTCCACTAGAACTGCATACTCAAATAACATACATACATACATGCAGGCAAACATTCATACACATTTAAGACATTTTTTATTTGGGCTGAGCATGGCAGTGTATACCTTTAATCCCAGCACTCAGGAGGCAGAGGCAGGTGGATCTGTGAGTTGGAGGCCAGCCTAGTCTATGTAGTGAGTTCCAGGCCAGCTGGGGCTACAGGGAAACTCTGTCTCAAAAAACAAAACCAAAAAACATTGAATTTTTTTTTCTTCTTTTTGAGACAATGTCTCCCTGTAGCCCAAGCTGGCCTGGCACTTGTTATGTAGAGCAGGCTATCCTTGTACTCACAGAGATCTGCCTGCCTCTTCCTCTTGAGTGCTGAGATTAAAGGGTGTACCACAACGCCCGGCTGAAAAACATTAAATTTTTTTGGGGGGGGGGTTGAGGCAGGGTCTCCCTGTAGCCCCAGCTGGCCTGGAACTCACTATGTAGACCAGGCTGGCCTCTGCCTCCCAAGTGCTGGGATTAAAGGCGTGTACCACCAAGCCCAGCAACATTCAATTTTCAAAAAATATTTTATTAAGGACGCTCATAGCCACCATGTGGGTGCTGGGAATCGAACCCAAGTGCTCTGCAAGAGCAGTCAGTGCTCTTAACCGCTGGGCCATCTCTCTAACCCCACATCAAAAAAATTTTTAGAGGATGGTGATAATATCTGTTTTTTTTAGTTTGTTGTGAAATTTTAGTTTTTATTTGGTCCAGGATGGCCTGGAACTCATCAATCTTCTGCCTCAGCCTCCTAAACCCTGGGGTTACAAGGCATGTGCCACTGTTCCTGGCTGGTGAAGTTTCTTGACTGACTGAATTATTAGAAACTGGCAGGGCTTATCTCTCTATTAACATGTAACTATTTTTCCACAATTTCTGGTTTCCCATCATTCTTAAAAAGTCACCATGAGGGGCTGGAGAGACGGCTCATCAGTTAAGAGCACTGGCTGCTCTTGCAGAGGACCAGGGTTCAAGTCTCTCAGCACCCATATGACAACTAACAACCAACAACCACCCATAATCCCACTTCCAGGGGATCCCATGACTTCTTCTGGCCTCCATGGGCATTGTACAACATGGGTGCACTAACATACATGCAGGCAATACACTTATACACATAAAATAATGAATAAATAAGCATCTCAAGTATTTTTTTAAGTCACCAGGATTTAAAAAAAAGAAAGACAGTAAGTCTCCTCCTTTGTCCCTGGTACTCGACGTCTATTAATAGGACATAAAACAACTTCCAGAGGTTACATTTCTTTCACACCACACACACACACAAACACACACACAGAAAGGAACTGGTAGGCAGAGAGCGTGTGGCTCATTGGGGTGAAAAGGGGGCCTCACCAGTCTGGCAGTAACTCTTTAATCTTCTCCATCAGTCCTAAGGAGGGATCCAGCTGGAGAAACCAAGCCAGCTGGATTGCACTGAAGAGGAAGAGCCAGCTGAGGGGGCTGGCAGGGACCACACCAGTAAGAAAGTCGCTCTGTGGTGAGGAAAGGGGTGTTTTCAGTCACGTTCCCTCTTAGCACCTGACCTGCACTATTCTTAGGTGCTTATGGGGCCCAGAGTGTGGGCTCAGCTCAGGATTCAGGGAAGAGACTCCTCAGTGAGGGGCTGGGGTGTGCTCAGTGGTGGAGCTCCTGCCTGGAATCCCCCAGTGAGGGGCTGGGGTGTGGCTCAGTGGTGGAGCCCCTGCCTAGACTCCCCCAGTGAGGGGCTGGGGTGTGGCTCAGTGGTAGAGCCCCTGCCTAGAATCCCCAGTGAGGGGCTCAGTGGTGGAGCCCCTGCCTAGACTCCCCCAGTGAGGGGCTGGGGTGTGGTTCAGCAGTGGAGCCCCTGCCTAGGATCCCCCAGTGAGGGGCTGGGGTGTGGCTTAGCTGGCCTAGGATGTGCAAGATCCTGGGTTCTTTCCATGGCACCAAAAAATAAATAGAGATAGGGGAACTGAGTTCCACGAGTTGTGTTAGCTGTGGCAGCAACAGTGATGGGTACTAGGGCCAAGCAGAGGGTGCAGTAGTGCCATGGGTGGGGCTAAGAAGCCACAGAGCAACATCTGAGAGTCCTGGAACTGGACCTCCAGATCCTCAGAAGTGGGTGTTGGGCATCCCAGAAACAGGTACCTGGACTCCCAGAAGGAAACCAACCAGGAGCCCGCCTCACCCAGAAACGCCAGAGATGCCTTTTCCAAGAGCGCAGGCCTGATAGGTAGATCTCCTGCCACACTGTGGAGCTCAGCTCTACTTCCGACCCATCCGAGCTCAGTGAGGACAGCAAGCCCGAGGCCTGGTGTGCCTCACCCATGTCCCCTGGGGTCCCTGGGAAGAGGACAGAGGGTCACTCTCGGGACTTTGGAGTTTCCTCCCTCAGACCCAGGAGTCCAGACCCCAGCCTCCTGCCTCAGACTGGGGCGTCTAGGCCCCAGCCTTCTCCCTAGGATCTGGGAGTTTAGGTCCCAGCCCTCTCTCAGACCTGGAGTCCAGACCTCAGCCCCAAGAAGTCTTAGCCCAACCCTCATCCTTCAAAAACAGGTTCAGCCCCCAGCCCTCCTCCCTAAAACGGAGGAATGGAGACTCCAGCCCTTCCTTTCCTCCCTTGGACCCCAGGGCTTGGCTCACTCTGCCTTAAGCACTTAAGGGTGCTGAAGTTCCAGTTGGGTACTCAAAGGTCTTGAGGACTTCAACTGGGGTCCTCTGAGAGTGTTCAGAGGGGCTGGAGGGCTGGCTCGCGGCTACCCCTGACCTGTGCTGCTGAGAACTCGGTGCCCACCTAAGGACTCAGCATTCGCGGTGGGGGGTGTGGGGTGGACATGGTCCAGGGTTAGAGGGCTTTGGGAAAAAAAATACTAGTTTTAGACCCATAGAAAACAAACACCTGCCGGACGTTGGCACTGTCCACCCCATTTCCGCTTCCCTTCGCCAGGTACGGGTGTGCGGCGTCTATAAATTCCCGGACTCACGGGAGGCAGAGCGTTCCCTCCCCCGCGGGGTCTGAAGAGGGAATGGAGGAAGGACCCTACTGCGCATGCGCAGCAGCCAGGGCTGCTGATGGTGAGCGGAGGTGAGAGGCCAAGACAGGTGATGGAGAAGCTCTGCGTGCCCACCCGATGGCATGCAGCAATCCCGTGCCCTGGCGTGTACTTAGGCCGTTTAGGGGTCAGCAGCTCAGATCCTTGGGGTCGGCCCCAAGCACATCCCCTGCCCCCCAGTTTTGAGCTCAAGACCCAAGTTTCTCCCTTGTATTGCTCAGCTCGGTGCCACGAGTCCACTACCTGGTCACACGTCCCCCGGAGTCACTGGACACCCAGCTCAGGACTGGTGTGCGCCTGCCTAGCCGGGTCCTGAGGTCCGGGGCTTTGTCTCCGCCCCCCTCCCAATTACTCAGTGTCCTGTCCCCGCCCCTCCGAGTTCTGTCTCCACCCCTTGGAATCGCAGCGTCCAATCCCCTTGTCCGATACCATCCCCAGTCTGCTGAATTGGTCCAGGGCAGTTCAGCGTGGTATGCCCTCCCTCCTCCCGCGCTGCTGCCCACACCCGGGCAGCTCTAGACCGTCCTCTTGGGACTAGACCAGGCGTGGCTTGAAGCTTAGGCGTGTAGGGCACAGCACCCAATCTCAGTGTTTCTACCCCGGGAAGATGCTTGGGGGATTAGGCTGACCCACAAACACCCATGATAGGTGCACAGCCCGAGGGGACGAAGGAGGTGCTATGGGGCTGGATATGAGCTAGTCAGTTACTGGACAAGGCGCATAGAGCCTGGGGCCTGAGAGATGTTCAGAGGTTAAGAGCACTGGCTGCTCTTGCAGAGGAGCCAGGTTTGATTCCCAGCACCCACATAGCAGCTAACACCCATCTGTAACTCCAGTTCCAGGGGATCCGATGGCCTCTTCTGACCTCCGTGGGCACTGCATGACACGAGTGCACTTACATTCAGGCAACACATTCATACACATAAAATATTTAAACAATTATTATTAGAGGTGTGCTAGTGCACGCCTTTAGTCCCAGCACTCAGGAGGCAGAGAAAGGTGGATCTCTGTGAGACAGAGGCCAGTTGGGGCTACAGCGAGACCCTGTCTCAGAAAGAACTCCCCCCAAAATATTAAGAATCTACTTAAGGACTGGAGATGATTTAGTAGTTAAGAGGGTGCACTGTTCTTGCAGAGGACTAGAGTTTAGTTCCCAAACACCTAAGTAAGAACAGCTCACAACCACCTTTGAAATTTATTTTTGCCCGCATGTATGTAAGCCCACCTCTATCCCTTGGAGGCCAGAATAGAACACTGGATTGTTAGCTGCCATGTGGGTGCTGGGAACCAAATGCATGTCCTTTGCAAGAGCAGCCAGTGCTCTTAACCACAGAGCCAAGTATCTTTAAGAGTATGTGTGGCTGGCCAATGTGGCACATGCCTTTAACCTCAGGACTCAGAAGCAGGGACAGAGGGATCTGTTTAAGGCCAGCCTTGTCCATATGGCATACATATGTACGGCAGGCTAGACAGGTGCATGATGAGAACCCATCTCAAAAAACAAAACAAAAGAGAAATGTTAGGGAGCTGGTTCTTTAAAGTTTTTTATTTTCATTGTATGTGTGTGAGAATGTATTGCCTCCATGTAGGTAGGTGCACCTGTGTTGTGCAATGCCCACGGGCATCAGATACCTTGGAACTGGAATTACAGGTGGTTGTTAGCGACAATGTGGGTGGGAATCCAACCCAGGTCCCTCTGCAGATTATCTGTTGTCTTATTCAGCTCTGGTGGCCCCTTGCTGCAGGCTCAGAGCCTGTAGCCATGGGGCTGTGTACTGGGTCTCTGGATCTGCCTTTCTGAGCACTCCTTGGTGGAGCAGGGCAGAACTAGATGCTCCCGGATGCTCTCCCTCAAGCATGGTCCAGGGAGCAGGGCTGGTGCTGGGGATGCCTGGGGAGCGTGCATGGATGAGGGGTTGGAACAGAATGTGGGGAACGCCACAGAGCGAGACTGCAGATTCCCACCCACAGGAAACACAGAGGGACCAGACCATCTCTGTTGGTAGGTGAACTACTACCCTAGCCCCAAGGGAGCAGCGATAGCAGCCCCCCCCCCCCCGCCAGGGTGTAGCCTCCTGGCTTCCTATAACCCAGCACACCTGTGCTTCAGAACTGAGGTCAGCTGTACTTACCACGCTGCACCACAGAATTCAAACCCAGACTCTGCCTCCTTCCTCATGGGGGCCTTCCTGGACATACTAGTCCCTCCACAGGGCTTGTTCTCAGAGGCCTTGAAAAGGCCTACCTAAGGGGTCAAGTATGGAGGGACAGACACCTACAGGGATGACCCAGCCGCTGACTTCCATAGCACCAGTGGGGCCCAGCAGCAGCCTCCCCATTAGTCCTCTGGGACTGGCTGGGAGAAGGGGGGAGAAACCTGGGTCTCAAGTGTACCGTGTGCTAGGGGGCAGGTCCTGGAGGGCAGGTAAGGCAACCACTCTGTAAGTGAGGCCCAATGGCAAGGCGGGGAAGGCTCACCCAGCCACACTTGTCCTACAGCATACCCCTCACCCCACCATGGAGGATCGCCTCCAACCTCAGCTCCAGGTCACCATAGGAAAAACGGGTTCAGCTGCTAGAGCTACATGGCCACCCAAGGCTGGGTACACTTGCCAGTCCTGCCTGGCCTTCAAAGGTCCTGGACAGATGAACAGCCACAGGAGTAATGTGGCACTGCGAGAAGTCAGGGGACAGTGTTCTGGGAACTTCTCACCCTGGTACACAAGTCAGGAGAACAAAAGCAAAGTGGAAACGAAGTGTCTGACTCCCGAGGGCAGAGCACTGATCAGCCACAAGTAGCTGGACTGGCACCTCAGCAGCTCTGGAGGAAACACCACCCCACTGTGCCCCAGGGAGCCGAGAGAACCCCAACCTGCTGTGCCCCAGGGGGAGCTGAGCAGAGAACCCCACTGTGCCCCAGGGAGCTAAGCAGAGAGAACCCCAACCCCACTGTGCCCCAGGAAGCTGAGCATGGAAACCCCAATCCATGTGCCCCAGAGCCAAGCAGACAGAACCCAGAACTTGGTGCCCAAGAAGCAGAGCTGTCCCAGCTGAGGATTTATTGGCGTAAACGCAACCATATAAAAACATAAGTTATGAAAAACACAGTCATGATGTGCCCTCCCATCCCCCAAGCCCAGCTCCTGAGCCCCCTTCTGGAGGGCCAGGAGAAGGGACCCAGAAACTGCCTAAGAACGCCATAGCCCCAGGCCTCATAGGGCCAGCCAGGCGCCACCTCAGCGCATCCTGTAGTCTGTGGAGCAGGAGAGCTCACACAGCTGGCCCTTGAAGTCCAGGTCGATGGTGAAGTCCAGGTCGCGCTGTGGGGAGAGGTGTGGCTGTCAGGTGGTGGGCCCAAGTCCCCCACTGAGCAAGGTACAGCCCAGGGCCATTTCCCTGAAAGCCTACCCAACACCTGCACCCTGCCTCAGTAGCAGCTCCACAGGGCTGTCTTCACTGCCTGCCCAATCCCCATCAGTACCCAGACAGTTTTCAATCACTTCCCAAAGGGGACCCCATCCGCCATCAACATGTGCTGTTCATGTTACGCCGGGGTCTCTCCTCCACTCCTATGCGCCCCCTGCAAGCTTTGGGAATATCCCTCTGACCCATGCATCAAGGTCCAAAGTCTGGCTATCCAGTGTTTGACATGTTGACCTGTGACTTCAGTGTGGGGACCCTGCCGTCGAACAGAGCAGCTGTAACTGGGTTACCTTGGGACCCAGCAGCCACACTAGATGTATAGGGAGCCCCCTGCCCCATCCCAGGTGAGTGTGGTTCCACCCAGCAGCATGCAGGAAGAAGTCCAAAACCAGCCCGTTTTCCGCATACATCATCACATCTACTCCCTCAGGCATCCCAGGGTCTCACGTTGTTCTTGGCGTTGGGCCGCATGCCAATGGTGCCAAAGATTTCCTCGCCAGTCTTAACCGTCAGGTAGTCCTCCATGTAGAACACCGTCTGCTTCCAGTGTGTGTATGGGGACTCGGGGCCTGTGGAGGCATGGCCAGCCTGAGCCTCTGCCTGGATATCACCCCTGCTGCAACCTGTGACCACCCAGAACCCCATGAGATCACTACCAAGACTGGGAGAGGGCTGCTGTCCATGCACAGTGACTGAGTCAATAGAGCTACACAAGATTCAAAGCTGCTTGGCCAGTGGATGGCAGAGCCAGGTGGGTTCTCAGTGCCCAAACCCACCTTTGTTCTTGGGACTGGTGATGGAACTCAGGGCCTGGAGCACCCTAGGCACTCTACCTGAGCCACACCCCAGCCCCTCACTGGGGGATTCTAGCTTGACAGCTTCCTGCCAGGTAACAGGACAATAGGCAGAAGTCCCCAACCTGTCCTCTGCTGTTCACCATACATAAACTTGAACATGCCCCACCCCCAGCCCAGCCCCCTGTGGCCCTCACTGGTAGAAAAGCCGGTCCTCTTGTGGCAGCGGGTGAACTCGATGTTGAAGTAGGCCACCAATGCATGCACGTAGTCATTCCTCTTCACTTGCAGGCAGAAAGGGGAGGTGAAGGTCAGGTCTTCCACCTTGACTGTGTAGATGTCCACCTCCTGTGGGACAAGCAAACCCTGCATTCAGACACACAGCCCTTCCAGTTCTAGCACCTAACCTTCCCCACACTGCCTGTCCTGGGCCCCAACAAACACCCAGCCTGGCGATCCCACAGCCCAGAGTGCCTGTGCTCACTGGTGGCCCAGCTTCAATGTGAGCACTACCTGCCTCAGCAAAGCCCAGTACCAGGTGTGGCCTCTGGAACTCGACACATGAGCTGGCGTGCGTCCCCTGGTTCTCTAATGCCTTCCCCCCAGTGGACAGACAGATACCCAGAGCCTGCTGTCATCGCTACCTTTATGAGGCAGGCATTGGTGACCAGCTGCTTTGGGTCCACCACATCCACCAGGGGCTCCTTGATGGCCACGTCTTTGATGCAGGACATGTCAAAGCCATACACGTTCTCCCACCCTAGGCACAGATAGGGCTAGGTGAGCCACAAAGCCCAGGCCCCACCTTTACCACCCTACCCATCCTGTGGCCCCTGCCCTCACCACCCCTGACCCAGCTCACAGTGGATCTTGTAGTCTTTATATTGCCGGTCCTCGATGGCAGTCACATACAGGGTAGCCCGATCTGGGAAGATGAGGCCATCGGGTGCCTGAGGAGGGGTGGGTGAGGGTACAGAGCGTAGGAGTCTCACACTACCCTGAACCAAGCCCACCTGCCCACCTACTTTCCGCAGAGACCCTCAGCCTTCAACTCTGTGCCAGAAGTCAGGGGGCACCCAGATCCCAAATTGCTGTCCCCATCCTAAGGTTTCTAGGCATTC